TGATCACTGCCCCAGGGCAGACAATACAGCAATACTTCACTAGATTATCTTGGGTTTATCGGCTTGTGCCTAATTCCTACCAGCAATTGTATGAATAATGTAGTAAACCGCAGTGATTTCTGTGAGCATTATACGATATCTGCGGGTTTTAAGGGGGGGGGGGTAGCATATACATATATATATATATGTGTATATATATATATATATGCTTACACATGCTAACATGTGGTTTCTGACTGCAAGCATCCCTTTTTTAGCTGTTATTTTCGGTCTCATGTCGAGTGTGGAGTCCCTTGTTTGGGGTCCTTACTTATGATATTAAGGATCCTGGCGTTCAGCATCTCTGTTAACGGGCTACTCGTACCTTCGCATCAAAGGTGGTTGTCAGCTCTGGACCTGAATGCATTGTGCAGCCGTCCTCTTCCGTGTACTCTTTGGGAAAAGGGCCCTTGATGACAAAGTTGAGTTCTGGGTCAGACCTGAGCAACAAGGCGTGCGCAGAAACGTCTCCGGGTGATGGGGTATGTTAGCAGGTGATATAACGAATCTTCCGAGAAGAGGGAATAAATCGAGATAAGGTTTGGGGTGCTTAGCTAGGACGGAGATGGATCGTGCTCCACTTCACCGTGAAATGGCGGGAGGCTCATTCCCGACGTAGTCAGGTTCTGGCGCTGGCTCCTGCAAGATGCGAGTAGAGATTCAAAATCGCAACAGGTACCGACTTCATGCTTCGTGTGATGAGGGTAAGCATCCTGATCACGAACAGTGACGGTCCTTGGTATTGTCATCATCAGCAACACTCATAGCACTGCTGCTCTTCGAAGTCTCGAAGTTGTGTTGGTTCGTCGTGGTCGTGGTCTTGGTCGCAGCCGCAGTCGTGGTCGTCGACTCCGCCGTCGTCATGGCCGTGCTCGTCGTCGTTGTGGTCGTCCCAGCAGCAGCAGCAGGCAGTTGCGGCAGTAGTAGCGGCAAACATAGACAAACATCATAGTCAACTTGGGAGGGCTACCTGGAACAACATCAATTCTCGTGGGCATCAGACAAAGCATGAATATCATGAGCGCCACTTCGAGCAGCGAGTTCAACGAGGTCATCCTTTCCTTACTTCGAACCCACAGCAGCTTGAGTTCTACTCAGCTACAGGGCAGGTGGTTGTAGAGTGAGGCAGTTGCTCCATGCTCGTCCTGAGCCTGCAGATGAAAACAGCAAAGGGATGGATGCGCAAACGTGACCCGTGTAAAGTGATGGTGACGACAAAGGCTGCAACCCTTCGCTCTCTTGGCTCCTCCGGCCACCAATCCTGCACCCAGTCGGGCATCGGCACTTTGTCCGGATTCTTCGGCTTCCTGCAGCTGCAAGCCATGTTGCTGGATGAAGGAGCATGCGATTAGGTGATTGAGGTTGCCTTACGGTCCAAGGTCAGGGGATTAACATCTAACCTACAAGGCAAGCCTTTGCCATCAGCGCGCACACCAAAGCCGACTTATAAATGTTTGATCCGAGAAATGCATTGGTGTCCTGAGATCACGGTACCAGCACTTCATCTCATAGGCATCCTGGTCGAATTTGACCTGGGCAGATCTACGGAAGTTCAAGAAATGAGGAGGAATTGGCAAGGGATGCTCGAAGCAGACTACCTTGCATCATAGACGTCTGACTGTTAATCTGCACTGTGCAAGAAAGCCGTGCAAGCCTTGCATTTAGTCGACAGGCCACGACTTTGCTCAGTCAGAATTTAGTTAGGGGCTTGATGTGTTGGGTTTCGGGTGGCCCGGCAAGATGAGAAGAAAATGCAGCCTCACTTCAAGGCACACGGAAGGAGCCGTCGTTAGGCCGCTCATCCGTCGGTGCACGGGACACTCGCGCAGTGACCCACCTGGGAGCATGCCGGCTGTTCCCATCTCAGGCTCTTTCCGAACTTTCGGCAGGGCAGCATTGACAAAAAACTAGCTTTGTCTAGCTCAGCCTGTGGAAGCAAGGTTTGCTAATGGGTATGTCAAGGATCCCTAACTAGGATTATCTCATTGCCTACTAACAGCGTCCGTCGAAGAGCCCTGCTGGAAAAAGCCATCAACCTTAGAGCCTTAGAGGCTCACGTTCCATCTCGCTGCACTTCGACCATGTCTCCGAGGAAAAACCTCAGTTCGACGTAACTTGAATCCGGTAACAGTCTCCATCGACCTTCCAAGCTTGTGCTTAGGGTTTCTTGATCTTCGGCGCTCACACTTGGGCCATCCGGCGAGGCACGTCGACTATTGAGACAAGGAGTTGACAGAATGGGAAGGTCACACAACCATCACCCGCGTAGAATAGAAACATAGTATAGAGAGGTTTTGTCCTTCCCACGCAAAGGTCCTGTGTCTCAAGATGCTTAGTTCGCACTTCGGGCCATCACCGAACTCCAGGTGATCACACACCAAGTATGGTTTAGGCATAAGCAATCCAAGATATCATTAACTATCACAGCCAGCATGATCGCGGGGTCGAGGGGGGGTTTACAGGGGGGAAGGATGCCATGCCTATTATTCCGGCGGCACATTTGCGGCGACGTGACGGTTGTCCAAAACAAAACAAGATAAGCCCGAACTAGCATGGCACAAAATAAACCAGAAATACCATCAACATAACTCAGAAATAACCTCAAAGTAAGCCAAACATAAGGCATATTTGGGACTTATCTTTGGGTAATTTTTGGGTAAACAGTATTTCTCAAGAAGACACGTTTGTTGCCGCTGCCTGCTCGGGATGCTCAAGCTCTATTTCAGGATTACTCTCTGACTGAAATGGCGCAGGAATTACTCTTAAATGGCCATGGCATCTCCCCCCTCCCCTCTCCCATCCCCCCCGAGACTCCATGAGCATGAGAGATGTGAGGACTGGAAGCTCCAGGTATGTCCGTATGATCACCACTGAAATCTTCTTTTAAAATCTTCACGACTTCTCACTGTAAGTTGAGGGCCCATTAGCCCAAGTTGGGAGAAGCCTGATCACCAAAAGGCCAAGGACATTTAGAGTTTAGGGTTGAGGTTTTTAGGGCTTCCGGGTTTGGGGGTTTGAGGGTTCCGGCGGGATGTAGGGACACTGGCAATCCCCATATTGCAGGCGTGAGGGCGTGCCAGGCCCTCTAACCCTAAACCCATGAATCAGCATCCGGTGGCTGGATACCTCGCCGGCCGCCTTGATACAGTGTTCCAGGCACATCGTACTCCTTGCAAGAGATCTCAAACACAACAGTGAAGCGGCGAAAGCAGGAATCTACTCGAAGTGCTTATAAAATTATAACACCTGTAACTGTCTACATCCCAAGTCAAGTGCCCTGAGGGGATGGGGCGAGCGTCAAGGTCAGCAGGCGGGCAGTTCGCGTCGGATCATGCGCAACCCCAAATCAGAAGCTCCAAAACGGGCTGGCACGCAGACCTGAACGAAGCCGAGGCCTCCAGCCAGTAGACAGTTAGTCCCTCTCCCGGCGCAGACCAGTCCTGCTTCTTGCCGAGATTCTTGGGTCTCCTGCAGGTTCGAGGAAATGGGGACAGCCAAGATTCCAGTACTTCTTTGAGAATTCGTTTCAAACCCATCACGGATGCGATTGAGGATCCTAGGCAGGAGAACAACTGCATCGATTAGGTCAAAGGATGGAATGGCTGTGTTTGCTGGCAGTGCTGGCGGCGATGGACGAAATCTCGGCTGTCCGCGCATGGGGAGGAGTGCTCGCATGCAAGCCTTGACCAAGATCCTTCCCAAGGTCGGTTAACTTCCATGGCACCACAGTTGCAGTAGCAACGCGGAGCAATCGCGAACGCAGCGAAACCATCTGCCAACAAACACACCTGTCTCCAACTAGGTTAAGCCATGACTTTGCTCATTCACTATGGCACTGTTCTAGCCACTGAAATTACTGCTATGGCTGAAGTCGGGACGTCATCACTAAGTTCGCTTTGTCTGTCTCAAACTGGTTCGTGTGCCAAAACACTTTGGCAGCTTGCGCCCCGAAGGCGTCGTCACAGCAAAGCTGGCACCTCGAAAGCCTCCCGGTCAGGGATTATATGCAACTGGAATCTCGAAGTAGTAGTCGGTTACTTTCTGATTTATCTGACTTCCCATTTTCAAACATACTGTAGGAACGGCTGATCTTGATGTCGTTGTTTTCGTCATCACGAACGGTTCTTCGTCTCGTTGTCATGCTTGTTGTTCTCGGCGGTAGTTACTGTTGCCGGATGAGGACTGCCACGACGAGAATTGCGCCGACTACAATCAGTGCTGCTCTGCACTGTCCTCAACTTTGAACCTTCCCATCATTACGACTATCTTGCTGCGTGCCATTGCTAGAGCTATCAAGTCGAAGTCCTGCGCGCCGTCGTGATAGGTTTTTTCAGTCTGCATCTGTCATGAGGGCCGCTGTGGTTTTCTTGACCCAACATGGTTGAAGGTTCCGGGCTTACCACCCAAGCTTGAATAGAAATGGACAGCCACATAGCAGACACACCACTAGTAACGACGAGAAGCCTCATAACCGATCAGGTCGGATGCATCTCTGCTGGCCAAAAGAAACTGAAAATCGAATGGATCACTCTAATCTCACCCTTCGATGCACCTGTACGTCTGGGAGTCGACGAACTGGCCGGAGCTGTTATGATCTCCAGTATGTGAGTATCTCACGTAATTGTAGCAAAACAACACTAGGTTGACTTCCTGTGAGAGCCGAAACGTGCAATGTTAAAGTCTTCCTGCTAACGTCTGCTCCTTTGAAACTGCTCTCGAAACAAACCCAACTTCCGGCATTGCGTTACTAACCGTCATGCAGCAAAGGTCGCACCTGCTGCAAGCCAGCGTGTAGCCATAAGGGCCAGAGAAGTTCGCCAAAAGAGTCTCAGAAGCAGGGAAGACCTGGCTGGTTCAGAGCGATCCAGATTCGATGCTCATCCTTGTACCAGAAAAAAGCACTTCCAAAACGTACAGTGCCTCCTGCCGTGCTGCTCCGCACGAGGGCCGCCGGAAGGCAACATGGCAATAAACAAAGCTCCTTACTCTTAAGCTTGCGGGCAAATTGCCGCTACAGCCTCAGAGGCTTGCTTAGACTCATTGTTGCTCGGGGGAGGCAGGATCTGCATTGCTAACTCCCCTAAGCACAAGTTCTCCTCGCCGCATGGTCCCCAAACCAAGGAGTAAAGATCCAGGAAGCGAGCAGTTCGGATGTAGACGTAAGCCTTAACTGCACCGGGCGAGTTCTAAGCAGCACCGGTGCAAACGGACATAGCCTGACTTGCTGTGTTTAGTTCAGGCGACGACTGTCTGTGGTCAGGTTTCCAGTCGGCGCTCGCTGTTTGACGAAACCTTTTGCTCATGTGAGAAGTTCAATGCGGAAGAAAGCTGCGGCGAAATAATGCAAATTGCTCTCGCCGGTGGATACGAGTATGGTTTTAGCATCCACTGCTGCTGCTACTACTACTACTACTACTACGACGACGACGACGACGACGACGACTACTGCTACAACGAGGACTACGACGACGACGACGACGACTCGGAGTTACAATCCTTGCAATTTGGGGAAAGCTGCTAGCCAGAACGAATACAACAGACATCGCCATAATGCGCACAGCCATGCGCCTCGGCAACTGTCGTCGGCCTATCGGCTTTCAGGCGGCTTTTGCGAGTGTCAGCATTTCGGATCCTGGGGTTAGGCGAGTTTCACGACGCCGCTATTATAAAAAGGTCTCTTGACTTAAACCCCACGCTCCGCGGGTGTTCCGAGTGATGCGCGGCTTTGTTAAATAATGGTAGTCGCTCCTGGGTCATGTGGGACAAAAAACATGCGAACCCCGATGCAGACTTTCAATATCCAGAGTTACTAGGATCTCTAATGCCTCTTTCAGTTTCAATGCAGCTGCTCATGTTGCTCTCTGGTCATCTTTCTGTTACTGTGGTATCCAGCATCAGTCTCATCATTCTCGTCGACACGTCTCCATACGCCGTGCTATTGCAGCTGCGTTGACATCGCTGCCGACAACTGTTGCAGCTTCTCTTGCTATGCTGGTGTCGGCCAGGGTTATCATCATTCTCGGCCTCTTGTTTCCTGTCAACTGCTTATTGCACTTCATGCGCCCCCAGTGGCCTCTCCCAGTCCGCATAGCGGTCGCCTCGGGGGTGGCACGTGCGCAGTCCTAGCTTTCGGGGTTCTTGTCAGGCACGCCTCAGTTTTGAAGCGAGGCGCAGATGGTCAGGCTGCTGAATGCCAACCAGAGCTAGCTACGCTGGGCTTAGAACAAAAGCAAAAGCTGACATCAGCACATGGACCAACTGTTGCAATGGTGAAACGTACCCTCTGCTGTTCCGTTCGGATTTCAGGATTGCCAACTGGAGGCGGCATAGATTTGCTTCTTCTGGAAGTGCTGGGTCTCCCTGCTGGGTGCCTGCCTGTTGTGGACTTTGCACACTTTCCTGCAGGGGTGCGGCATATCGAGGGCCACATAACTGCACTGCACAAACCCGTCTCCCAACCAGCTTCAATAATGCCGCGACAACACGCACGCTCACCCTCAAACCAAAGCCCCGATAGCCGCAAGCATCTACAGCCCTCTAGCTCCAAACAACCCGTGTAGCAATCCCTACGATAATCCATTAAAGGCAACCCAAATGGCCTCGGCGGAGGCGGAGACGGGCTGTTTTGAGCCTTCTCTTCCGTGGCACTGGCCTGGCGGTTTAAGCGCGAGTTTTAAAGCTGTTAAAGAGTTCCTTAAGGGCTTGAACAAATTCTTTTGAGAACCCGAGAGTGTTTTGGGTTTGGGTCTTGGTCAATAGGGTTTATGTTCGAACATCAAAAAACAGCAATCGAGGAAGAAATAGATGTAGTAGACGTTGCAGCAGCGCTATCACTGCATTCCTTAGGATCGTACTGTGTTTGCATACATGCGGGGGCCAGGAGCAGGAGAAGCAGCGACAGGAGTGTGTGTGTGACTATGAGTCGTTTTCGTGTTGGAGGAGGTGGTCACAGCTTCGGAAACCGCAACGGCACCTCTGGCCCTCGGAGAACAACATAGGGGTATATCAATACCAATTATGGGCTTAGGGTACTAATACTTGTCTTAGTAAACTAACCACAGCAAGCAGGCCGGGCCGTGGCGCTCTTGGGAATGTCAGGAAGGAGGCCCTCGAGCCTGATCGGAGAGGATTCCAGGCTTGGGTTTAGTTTCGGGTCTAGAGTGCTCTGTTTTTATGATGGCTTTGCTGAGCCTCCGCCCGAATCTGCTACACTAAACTGTCTCCAGGAATGTCTGACGTCTGACCGCCCCAGTGTGCCTCATGATTCATGCATCCTGGTATCCCGCTGAACTCAGCTCCGGACGCCTTACGCCCCTGTGGCGTTTCCATGAAGTAATGGTACATTCCGATCTCAATATGGTTACATTAAATTAGAGACCGAACGCACCGGGGGATGACGCGGACTGAAACTCGAAACACTGTCTGCATGTATATGTATATGTATATGTATATGTATATGTATATGTATATGCATATGCATGTGTATATGTATATGTATGTGCATGCATGCATGCATGCATGCATACATGCATGCATACATACGTACATACCTACCTAATACATACTTACGTACAAGTACATACAGATACATTCATTCATGTTCACATGCACATGTATAAAGCTACATGTGCCTGTGCCAGGGTATGTGTATACTTCTATGCACTGCTAGGAAGGGGATGTTGAGAGAGTAACCGTCTAAAACAGGATGGTGGGAATCCCTGGCTGCTCCTGGTGGCGAGAAACTCTACAGCCTTAGACTGTTGTTTATCTGCCTTGCATGGGAAGGACTATCATGAGTGACTGATCAGTCGCTTCCTGGTGCCTGGACGGTTACCGTAAGGTGTAAGGGCCATTGGTTCCAGCTTCAACCCTAAACCTCTAACCCAAAGCTCCTAAACCCTAAACCCCTAAACTCCTAAACCCTAAGTGGGAGGGGGAAAAAACCCAAAACCCCTATACCTTTGACCCTAAGCTGAGTCGGCGCAGCCGGGGCCCCACGAAGTGCGAGCCGAAGGCTCGAGCAGAAAGCTGAGGTCACACGTCTTCGGCATTTTTTCAAGCAGTTAAGGCCATAAAGAGGGCTTGGCATTGGGGTTCAGAGAAGCTCTTTGGGGCAATGTGATTTATACATGTATGAAAAGCCTGCATGCCTAAGGCCCAGCCTTTGCAAGGAGCGCGGCGGCTCAGTCACGACTTAGAACGGTTCAGCTCGTCAAATCCATGCAAGCTGCAGTCAACTCTTCTTTCCGAAACCCAATAAACAAACCCAAAGGCCAGACACAACCTTAATGCCTTCAAGTCCCAAACCCCAAACGTCTGCGCAAGCCAACTCCATGTGTGACATGCACCCTCCGGAGGTTCAGGGATTGTTAGGTGGTTTGGGGTGTCGGACTTCAGGAGCTCACGTACCGTTCAGCGCGCAGGGCCGTCTCTTTGCAACTTGAATGTGAGTGCGAGTTTCGGTTGCAGCCCTCAGCTGGCTCCGCCGTGCCGCGCTCACTGCGGTGGAAAGGCCTTAGTGCAGATCGCAATTCTGGCGAGCAGAAGGAAGCTCCCCGCAAGAGAAAAGCGATGGAAGCGAGTCGGGGCTTCAGTAGGTTTTGACCGCACAGTACTATTGCACATTGAACAAGGGGGGCTCTCTCACCGGTTCTTGGATCTGAGCAAGTGCAGAGGTTCAGCTGTGCTCGGACACGCGGAAGCCCTGTCGTCGGCACGAATAGTTTGGCCTTGCCGTTCTGTAGACATGGGGTCCTTGAAATAGTAATGCGGTTTCTACTGCTCCTGGTCTCCAATCGAAGTCTGAAAGTCCTACATCAAGGCACCCAGAAGAGCGCGAAGCACGCAGCAGCACTTCAAAACCTGCTTCCTAACCTGACTCAACTTGCCCTCTGAATAGACTGCCCTCTACCTTAAATTTAAAAAACCCGTAGGATCTTGGGCTGATGGTTGTGAGGTGGACTTACTCGAGCGGACAGTGTGTTTTGATCGTGGCACAGGGGCAAGATACGGGAAGTGCACTGGAAGCACTGTCAGCAGGCTCACATATTTGTTTCAGGCCACATCGCCATCATCCTCTCTTGGCCTTGTGCCAAGTAGAGTAGGGCCGCCAAATAATCCAGCGCCTGAATTCGCGGCCCCTACCTTTGAGGGGCCTCAGGCAGCGTCAGCTCGCGGCAGCTTGCGCGAGAGCATAACCTCAGGTCTCCACGCAGCCCCCGACATGTTGCAGGAGCTCATATTATACTATATTATATTATACTATATTATATTATACTATGTTATATTATACTATATTATATTATATTGTATGATATAAATACGACACCTTGGCCTGAGCTCAGATTTAGTAGGGGTCTGTTCCGCAGGTCGCTACGCTGCAGGAGCTGAAGTGCAAGAGCCTACTCGGAAGGTACAGTGGAACCCAAGAAACTGCCGCAAAGCCGAAACCAAGACCTTAAAACGTAACTCCTGTACTCAGCGCCGAATGCCGCTGCGATGTGGGGGAAGTGGGTGGATAGCTCCTCTCCTCTTCCACTCGGTCGCACCAAAAGACCCAAACAAAGAAGCAGGAACATGCCCTTTTTTGAGCAGGGACTGCAATNNCCCCCCCCCCCCCCCCCCGACATTGCTAGAAGCACTCCTAGCCCTAAACCCCATCACCCCAACACCACAGAAACACCCTGAAGCCGTAAAGGCTCTAAGCACCGTGAAGCCGGCCTTCTCCTCCACCACCCTCAAACCCCCCCAAAACGCCTACCCCTCTAAAGCCCTGAGCCCAACCCCTAAACCTCAAAGCCATCAAAACCCACTAGAGGTGTATTATTGTACTTTCCGTATAGGTATAAAATACATAGAAGGAACTCTGTGGAACAATGTAGGTAACTGTAGGCTTCTTTGTAGTTTCCGTATACTTACAAAAAGAAGGAGCCCTACGAAATAATGTAGGTAACTGTATGGGCTT